CCCTCCCTCTCTCTCTCTCTCTCTCTCTCTCTCTCTCTCTATATATATATACATATATATATATATATACATATATATATATATACATCAAAGAACGCAGCTTGATTTAGACATGCATATGACAAGATGTGGGATGCTATCGCACACCGCGTGAAGGAAAAAAAGAAAAAGAAGGCTCTGTAAGAGAATCTTAGCGTTTGTTCCATATGCACTTCACATAATAATGTGTGGTTTTTACAAGCTAATAGTGCCAAGAAAAGCGAATGATGTGTCTGTATCTCCAATTGCATCTCTTAGCCCACGTCGAGACCCCATGACAATAATGTGCGCCACCCTATGGAGCTCTCGTCTCCAGGAATCAAGAGCTCCTCACTAAATGTTGGCAAGGTGATGTCGATGATCATCTTTGGGAAGCTTGATCAGCTCCTTCGCATGGATGACGATCCTATGAAGCTGGTCGATCTTGAGTCGCCTTTCCTTGCTAGAAGATCTACATCGGGATAAGATCCCTCTGATTCCAAAATGAGTCTCCTTGAAGTGAATTAAAGGTAGAGGGTGAGGAGTGACCAACCTCGAATACTTCTATAGTTAGAGTTCTCCTAATTGTATATCGTTAGGCCAATAATCTCCGAAACTAAAAATGTTCAGAGAATTTTTTCCATTTTGATCGCCGTCGATGTGGCAGATTGGTTCGAGTGGGCTTTTCTCGTTTTCGTTGATGTGGTTGTCAAGCCATGAACCGCAGCGAATGCTAATATTCTTCGTATCCTGTGAGATCATATAATATATATTGTAAATTAATAGATCAATTTTCGATTTATTAGGTATGAAATATTTTAATAAGACAAGAGATCTCATTGCATCTCTTTCCGTTTACCTTTCGAACCATTCTTGCCTTTCCTCTTCAAGTACCGTTTGAGCTCACTGATGCTTTTCCCATCTCTAAGATCCATCCTATCAAGAATATAACTCAATAGATGGAATCGTATGCATAGTATATTTTGGTGCCAAGAATGTGAAGTTAATTTGAGTGGCAGCCCTATCTTCTCGAAGATTTCTCTAACGCTTAAAGTCAACAAAAAGATCAAGAATGAAACTCATTAGAGGAGTCCAAAGGTGAGTACATGCCCGGGAGAGACCCTCCGCTTCGAGCTAGTGTATCAACAAAGCATAAATTTTTCTTAGATGTTTTATTGATCTATTACACCTAGATAGCATCATGTCATCATAGATAGCCTCATAATCGATTAGATGACATACGATGAACTTTGATTGATTGTATATAGTTTGATTGACATTATACGTCTCGTTTTGATTGATTGTCACATATCAATCTTCTTAAAATTTTCAATTAATCATACTAATTAATAATTTAATAATAAATCTTCTTATAAAAATAAATGTTTCCTGATATAAATTTTAAATAATTAATGATGAATTCTTTAAAAAAACTCATAAGTTTAAAAAAATTTTAAAGTTCTTAGATGACATCTTTTTTATAAAAAAAATGATCATTTTATCCCCGTCAACCATCGCCCGTCGATTGCCCTTCTCTAATTGCTTGTACCTTCGTATAAATGTTGATCTCTCTAATCACCCCTATCCTTCCCTAGTTGTCTATACTTTTACACTTTAGTTAGCATTGTCTGTTCCCCCCCCCCCCTCTCCCTTGGCCTCCTTGCACTTCTATGCATGGCTTGGCCCCATTAGTTACCTACCTCTATATACGTGATGTCTTTGGAGTCTAACTATGACGAAAGTGATGCAGGGAGAAGAAGACAATGGTGGTTCCGATGAAGTTAGAGATAAATTGATAATTTCACGTGATCAGGTCTATTATCTAAGAATTTTTAAAAATTAAAACATTCTATAACAAATTTTTGAATTTAGATTATGTTTTCAAGAATGTGCTTGATAATTAATATATTATAATTTATTATTATCATCACGTGTCGAGGTTTATCGAATAAAGTTGAACCCATGAGAAATAGAAGTCGACGACCACCGCCACCCAACTCCCTGATGATTGATACGAATGTGATGAGAACATCATATTCTTCTAATCATTTGGGTCATTGGTGTGTTTTAGACTACAATGAACGACCGAGTAAAAGTCCAAATGCAGAAGCTATAGGAAACCCAGAAGGAGGTTAACGAGCTAGAAAAAGGGAGAAATCCAAAAGTTACTTTGCATGGAGTCTCAAAGCTATGTGGTCACTTTCCCCTTGCCATCTTCAATCTTCGATGTTATTATTATAGTGTTAGTACATCGGACTAACTCAAATACATCGCCAGTTAGATACGAGTACTCAATAAATATATAAATTAAATCAAAAAAAATTTGACGCTCTTTCTATCATTCATATAGGTCATCGTATTCAGATCGTCCTACGATCTAAGTCAAATACATACTCAATAAAAAAATATATATCAATTCACGCATGTAGGTCTTCATATTTCGATCCTTTTATAATCTAAGCCAAATGCATTATTTGCTATGTATGAGTACTCAATAAATACATTTTTACTTGCTAGTAAAAAATTCTCAAATTTTGACTCAGAAAATTCTCGATCCTCTTTCTATGATCCATATAGGTCTGTCTTATTCCGGTTGCCCTCTTGATGGCATGCATGACACACAAAAGACAACTCATGTCGACTCTTATGTTCCGGCACGAACGCATCGATTTCTTCAAGTGTTGAAGGCATTAAAAATATTTTTCTTTTCTTTTTTTCTTTTACTGGGACAAAGTTTGGTACTAGTCGCTGCCTAGTGAGTTATCATGAGATGTGCTTCCAACTCCCAAGAAAAGGGGTTGCACCCCTGTGGGAATGTGCTTACTCCATGCTATTGTGTGTTTGCATGGGTTGGTGGCACTCCTCCATCAAAGAATATTTAGATGTTGGGACCAGAAACACTTGCTTCCAACTTGTCTCATCTTTTCAAATGCCTGCCTAATATTCTGTGTCAGTAGAAAAAACATATATTCGGTACTCGTGCACAGTAGAACCAACTGAAGCTCTTGGATTCCATTTTATACCTCTTGGAAAAAAAAATTATTGTTTCTTCAATTTATATCCTCTTTTTTTTTAACAATTAGTCCTACAATTATTCCACAGTAGAAATTTTTTTATATATAATTTATATACTTAAAAGGTCGCCATCTATTTGGCTGATTAGATGAATGATCAACCATGTCAAGCTTCTATCGCTTTTTAATTTCTATGTTTTTTATTGTCTTTATCCTAATTATTCAGCATCCCCCACTTTTTTTTCTTCTTTTTTTGTTGTCAATTGCTTGAAGGTTCAATTGTGGCCAGAATATCTCATGGAGAGATAGATTAAAAAAAAAAAAAAAAAAGAATTGGTTGATCTTTCTCTAACCAGTAATTATAAGTTTTGTGAACAGCATTCATGATAATACCCATATGCAAGGGAGACATGTCATTACAATAAATAATTAGGTCAAGTCACAACCTTAAAAAATGACATGGTTACTCCTGTTTGGGTCTGACCAATCAAAACAGTTCGGTAAGTAATAGCACAACAGACATGATATCCATATCCATACACTTCATTTTCTTCGTTCTCGGGCATGACTAATGAATGGCATGAGAAGTGTGCCTTATCACCCCTATTCTTGAGAGGAAAGGCCCCTCCCTATGTCAATCAATCTACCTACATCTATTACATTGCATCTAATATTCCACGGCATGTGGTGTCGTTCTTACTTACTACCCAAAGCATATTGCATTAAGATCAACCTCGTTTTTACTCGCAGGAAGCAAGTAATTTTGTGTGGTCTCTTCTTCTTCGTGTACAAGTGAACGTTGGTTGAGTGCTCTACTCATCACCATCACCACCATTGAGGTAAAAGAGGGGTGAGCGGTTGGGCTTTGTCTGCATGCGCCGAGAGGAAGAAACCAAGCGGAGAGCGCGAGGGCTACGGGTCTCTGGGCCCCAATCCTTGCCACATAGCGACACACTCGCCTGCGCGAGACACCATCGACAGCACCACCCTCCTTTTCCTAGTATTTATGTGAGCCTTTGTCTCTTGAATTCTTATTTGTGGTGTACAGAGGGAGGGAGAAAAGTGGAAGAGGAAACAAGAGAATCATCATCCACAGGGAAGCTCGAGAGAAGGAGAAGTGTGACAAGCAACTCGCAGACATCACACAGCCAGCGACAGGAGGAGGAGGAGGAGGAGGAAGAGTTCTTGGGTTGGCTGTGCTTCTCTTTCCCTTCTCCCATTTGTTTTCTTGTAGTTTCCTACCCTATGCACTCACTCGGAACGAAGAGAAGAAAGATCTCTGCTCTCTCTCTCTCTCTCTCTCTCTCCTTTTTGCTTTCTCCACCATCCTCTCTCAGAGACTGTCTCTTTATACTTGTTTCTGAGACAACTGCTTGTTTGGTATGCCAGCTTTGTTTGTTCTTTAGTAGAGGTGGGAAGAGTAGCCGAGAGAGAAGGTTTGGAGGTTCTCGGTGAGGGTTATCTGGTGGGAGCGTAGATCCAGTCTTCATGCTGTACCAGTGTTTGGGTCTATCTAGCTCTCATGCATCTCCCCTTTCTTTGGTTGTTTCCCCGTCTTCTTTAGATCTAGAGGAGGCCGGAAGTTTGAGGAGAGTCCGGCCTCATGGTTTCATGTTGGGTAGCGAGTGTTTCTTCTGTGCATAGCACTGATTTGGACTAGTAGCAAACAAAGAACAGTGATCGGAGAAGAGGTCAAGAGAAAGAACAGGAACACCATCTGATCTGGTTTAGAAGATGAAAGCGGCTTCGTCGTCGGCGCATCTGCTTGGAGCACTCTGCGAGGATGATCAGTACAGCCACCAGCAAACGCCAGGCTCGTCCGCAGCTGCTGCTCCTCCCAAGAAGAAGAGGAACCTCCCTGGAAACCCAAGCAAGTCTCTAACCATCATCACATATGCTCGTTCGCTCATCTTTTTCCTTTGCCACCTCTTCCATGCACCCCTCCCATTCTAGTTCTCGGCTCAATTCGGTAACCGAGATCCAGGGACAGCTCTCCCTCTTCCATTATTGACGTCACCAAGCCAACCTGTAGTGGAAAGCAAAGCATACGTGCTGGTGCATGAAATATCTGAGTTCCATTTCTTTAAGCTTCGCCCTTTATGTTCATGCTGTCATCATTACAGATCCGGACGCGGAGGTGATCGCCTTGTCGCCCAAGACGCTGCTGGCGACGAACCGCTTCGTCTGCGAGGTCTGCAACAAGGGGTTCCAGCGGGAGCAGAACCTGCAGCTGCACCGGCGCGGCCACAACCTGCCCTGGAAGCTGAAGCAGAAGAACCCCAACGAGGTCCGCCGCCGCGTGTACCTCTGCCCGGAACTGACGTGCGTCCACCACGACCCCTCCCGGGCCCTCGGCGACCTCACCGGCATCAAGAAGCACTACTGCCGCAAGCACGGGGAGAAGAAGTGGAAGTGCGACAGGTGCTCCAAGCGTTACGCCGTGCAGTCCGACTGGAAGGCCCATTCCAAGATCTGCGGCACTCGCGAGTACCGCTGCGACTGTGGCACCCTCTTCTCCAGGTACTACTACTGCATGCATCCTAACATCCACCAGCCAATCCATAAATGATTGGAATACCATCACTCATGTTGATATTGTTCGTTGGCTCACATTGCACTGGTGGGTAAGATGACCAACACGAATTGATACCGTCACTTGGGTTCGGTGATGGTGATTAGCGCTTCTGGAGTTAGGGTTAGGGTTGGATTCCTTGGCCACAGGAACGGGAGTGAGCAAAGATATGTGAGCATAGTGACCAACTGCTCCCACGTGAATCATGGCTAAGAACAAACAACAACAAAGGTCCTTGAGATCTCAAAGAAAGAAGCTCACCATTCATCTAAATGTCTCATAGAAACCAACGCCTCTCTCTCTCTCTCTCTCTCTCTCTCTCTCTCT